CCAATGCATTTTTGCACAAAATCAAGCAATCTCGTCAATTCATCACTTTAAATGAATATTTGTTGTCAAGTGACTGAGAAAACACTTTCTTGAATAGGTCTTGAGACTATCAGCACTTCTTGCATGGCAATTTATTCATCGTAGATCGACTTACATCACCTTAGACGATCAAGATGAAATAAATATTTATAGAATAGACTTTTGCGATATGTGAACTAATAAATAAAAAAAGCCAAAGATGAATTTCAGGTGATAAAGATCCATTCTATGGTAACGAAGTACCCGGACATGTGGGTTCATCACAGATAAGTACTCTGTTTAAATGTCTCGTGAATCATAAACGGCGTTTGCGTATTGTGATTCGGTATGTTTTGAGTGGGAGCAGGAGTGAAGCACTGAGAACGAGTGAGGGTCGTTGCAATCAGACCAATACGTTTATAAGTAGGTTTTCGAGAGTATGAAGTGTATTCATCCTATTTCGTTTAAGGTAGTTGCATTATTTTCACAATCTCGTGAATAGACCTCTCATTTCCATTGAATTTCAAAAGGTATTCTCATCCCGGCTGAGATGGACGGCAGTCACGAACTCGCCTAGGTCTTGTCAACACCTCTAGCGGGACTCAAACCACGACATTGCAGCACATAATCGCGACACGTTACACAATAGGCTCCGTCGCCACGAGTGCCCTTGGGTCATAGGGCAGATGTGAATTTCACAAACGATCATTTCCAATATCACATTCTGTGATGTGATTGTCGATGAAGCAAAGTCATATTTCCTATAGCAATCGCTTATAAGTTGGTTTACTATTCATGCATAAATGACCTGCTGGTAGTCTATAAAACGCAATAATAAGCGAAAAATTAATACCGTAGTCGATTGGTACAGAAAATATAACTTTGCTTCGTCGACAACATCTGCCCTTTGACCAATGGGCAATCGTGGCAACGGAGCGTATTGGTTAAAGTCGTGGTTCGAGTCCCGTTTAGAGTGCTGATAAGACTTGGACGAGGTGAAAAAAGGAGTCCGCCTCAGCGGGTATGAGAACCCCGATATTATTGTAGAAATATGGTGAATAAGCTTTATATATAGCATAAATATGTAGCGATTAGCGTGAATAAATGTTTGTAGGATGATTGCCTGTATATGTATTGGCATCAGTGACAGTCGTTATGCCATATCTGTATGGGAATCAGGAGGAAACTGTGGCCGAAAGGTGAAATGTTGTGCAAAAGTCTCAAAGTGAAAACGAGATAAATCATGCCGGTCATTTCCTATCCCACCAAAATGAATATATTGAGCCGTAGAGGATAGCAGAGCCTTAAGAAAATGATTGGGGAGCCATCAAAATAAAGATTAAATTTGACCTCGTACAGGCAACTTGTCGGAATTGTCAGAGCGACTGAGAAGAAAATGGCAATTACTTCGTCGTCTGCCAGCTATACTGTGTCTTCTTCCATCACCGGACATTTGGCCAGTTGCCTTCTACGATGCTTCTCTGACCAGAACAAGTCCGTCTTCATTGGCAGCCACAGTCGGCTGAGATGGAAGAAAAGATAGCATTATTTAGTGATGTTTTCATTCACTCTGAACCATAACAAAACAAGCATACATTTGCCAAAACCGGATTCCAGTTGTGTGTTAAGCCATCTTGCCAAGCTGAGTGAGTAAGGGTGGAGGGGCGGTTGGAAGAGAAGCCTTAATCCTCCGAACCAGCGCAGGAATACCATCTGAGGGTTGATAATGCATAAATCACTGCGGAAGCTGAAAGCAAAAATAATGTATTAATGGCGAGTAAATCAGAGAAAATATGAATGAGAGTAGGAGGATAACAAAATCTTTTAAACGAATATCTTGTCTTACACCACATCTGTGTGTATGTGTGTGTCTATGTGAGTAATGCTGGAGGGCAATGATGGCAAGAATATGATCATTTACATCGAATGGCATGATCCATGACCGAACCATTTTATCATCTGTCTCTCTGTCTGTCTGTATGTATGTATGTGTGCAAGTGCATACCTATCTATCTTGGTATGTGTTCATGCATGTATGCATTTGTGAGTAGTATGCAGGTTAACTACGATTTGGACTGACCTGGTGTTGGGGCTGGCAATTTGTGACTGTATTTATGGATAAAATCTAATATTTAGCATTATCTCTTGATAATTTAATGGGATCCGACCTTTTATTGCGAAAGAAAATTTGGCTGGAAAAGATTCGGGAATCGGCCTCATCGAGACCTTGAGTAAAGGCTCTTAGAATGCACAAAAAGTCATTCCGTAAAAATGTGTGTTTGGCCAAAAAGCATAATATGCGTACAATGTGCAACCACACAAAAGTAAGAAAGCGTTTAGATGCATTTTTAGTAGACCGATGATGTCTGTCAAGAAGGGACAGACGCGAGTTTAGCATGAATTGATCGCGGTCCGAGAACGGTGAACCGACAGCTTCTTTGTGCATTCCAACGGGCTTCGCTCACTTTCACTTCTTCGGGATCCGTTGAAGCCAACCGGTCCGGTCTGTAAAAGCAAGCATAACCCGAACAAAGAGCATATTTACAAAATGATTTCTACTTGCTGCCGCATTGCTGGAACTGGCCAACTTTTCTGTCCTGGCGGCCGCATTTTCTCCACCACCGAAAAGTCCTTCATGTGTACATGTACCGGTAGACACTTGGCCGACTCAAAGGGAGACGCGGCTACTTGAGGCGGCTGTTTCGTGTGTGTCTGGAAGACAAAAATGGGCAAGACCGGTCAACCAGAAGTCTGACTCTGGTAGCATTTGTGCTGAACGCCGCTGCCGAAAGGTGGGGCATCATTTGAGACTGGACAGTCTTCCGGCATGGGAGGTGAGCTCTGCCTCGCACTTAAAAGTGGCCGGCTGGGATACTTTGGGCAAAAGTATGCAAAACACTTGAACGTTGCGCAAATGTTGTCTGTTTCCAAGCCACTTTGAAGTAGCCAGCTGAGGCCGATTTGCGAAAGAAACACGCTTGCTTCGACGGATTCAGTCTGTCCGGCAAGTGAGAATGTCGCCCATCCTCAACCGGAAGAAGTGTTTTCCTTTTCGGCGACGAGACGCGGTGCACAAAAGACAACCTCGGCCTCAACGCTCGATCGTGCGACTCGGTCATTGTTTTCTCCAACATCAATTGGTTAGACGCCCTCATTTTCTTGCATATAAATAGGGTCTCGAGGCTACCAGTAAATTCAGCCTATTTCGTTTAAGGTGATGAAGGAGAGTCGGTAGGACCCTGTGAGCCGAGGGCATTCGTGGCAATTTGGCCGAGTTTTCAACTTTTAGGAAAGCAAGGCTATGTGAAATTGAATAAAAATGTCAACTCTACACACATGATTGTGGGAAAATTCTCCTTCTATCAGTCCTTTATCACCTTTAATGAAATTGGGTGA